TGGACCCGTGGTCTGGAGTCACTGCTCTGCCTTGCTCTCCTTTCCCTGCACACCCACCCGTGAGGGCCCAGCAGAGGGACACAGCAGGGCTGGGTTGCTGGGGGATGCAGGAGTGTGACGGCCGGGCACGGTGCCTGCTCGCCTGCCCAGGGCAGGCTGCTCTGCAGCCCACAATGGAGGGGCAATTACATCTCCTGGCACAGAGGCGTGGAGCTGCTGCGCTACCTGCACCCCGGGCCGAGGGTCCCCAGACCCCCCAGCCCTCTTCCATGGCCAGAGGAGGTGGTGGGATGCTGCCCTGGCTGCATCCCAGCTATGGGTGCCCCCCCTGCACTTGCTTGCCCAAATTGTCCATGTCGCAGTGTCCCAGCGACCCGGAGGGTTCCCTCCACCCTGCCGGCTGTGCAGACAGAGGGAGAACCCTGTCGGGGCACGCTGCTCCTTGGCGCAGCCGTCCCATTGTTCTGAGCCGAGGAACAAGCCACACGGTGGCCGGTGCTGCCTGCGCTGCCGGGATCCAGCCTCTGCCCAGCCCGAGGAGGGGAGCGAGGCGGGGAAGGGGAGGAGGATGCTTTTGTGCGTTTCTTTTCAGCAATAGCTCCTGGCTCACACTTGGCCACGGCTCTTGACTGAATTCGGGTAATAATGCCATCCACCTCCTCCTGGGAGTAGGCAGCATGGGGAAGGATCTGGCCACCAGCAGCCCCCTGAGGAAGGAGGAAGCCCCTTTGCTCCCTCCCAGCTCTCACCCTCTTTTTTGAGCTTCAGGGATGATCCCAAATCTGTTTATTGCTCCCCGAGGGGGACTCTGGGTGGGACCACAGGTTTCAGAGTGAGCAAGTCTCCGCAGGGTCAGGGTAGGTCTGACCCGGGAGCATGTGTTTAGGGCACGTGTTTAGAGCTGGCTGAGCTTTTGGTTGAATGGGAGCCATAAAAATGTCATCTGCGTCCTCCCCGCCTCAAGCCCGGCGGCCGACAGCTCTGCCGTGGCCCCATCGGAGAGACTTCTCCCTGCTTGTGCAGGGCAGTTCCAGCGAGAAGCCGTTGCCCAAGGCTCAGACCGGGGAGGGAAGCCCATGTTCCCGGTGGGATGGAGGAGGCTGTGATCCGCGCCGGGCTTTCCGGGTGGCGGAGGTGAGAGGATGCTCTCCCCGACGGCTGCTTCCTGAGGAACCGGCGTGCGGGTGGCTGGCAGCGGGGTACCTCGGGGCAGCGTGTCGGCCTCCCGGCCTTCCTGCTGCCCCAGCAACCCGCCGCGTCCGGGAAGAGCATCCGAGGGACAGGGACGAGCCGTCAGGGGCTGTGCATGGGGTGGAGGGTGCCCCGTCCCTCCCCGACCCCTCCCCGTCCTGGGGCTTTGGAGGAGGAAGGAAATGCCGCAGGGCTGGGAAGGGGCTCAGCATCCGTTGGAGGGGGCTCGGCTGGGGGTGGCGATGGGCAGGGGGAAGGGGTCCCTGCTGGGG